TTCAAAACAAAAGCAACTAAAGGCAGCAGCACACACAGAACTTACCCCCCCATCTCCCCTGTTCAGAGGGGGCCACCCCATCACCAGCCTCCCCCCACTTGCCACTTGTGTCCCGTTGTCTGCCCCCAGCCACTCTCATCTCGCCGTCAGGCCTGTCCAGAGCTGCCCACGGGCCCTTGTTTGCCCCCTCCCTGTCCTGTCCCTGGGAGGCTGTTTCCTTGTGTCTGTTCCTGCCTCGCTACCGCGTCCCACCAGGCGTGCAAACCGCCTCTCCTCGGACCCCCGTGCAGCGTGCCTGGCCAGTTTGCATCTGCCGGCACTGACCGCTCAGCCCCAGCCCACGGGACTCTCGTCCTGGGATGAAGGGAGACAAACGAGCTGATCCTTTGCATGCAGAGCGGGAGATGAAATTAACGTGAGGCCCCAATCCTGTGAGAGGCTGGGGGGGGGGGGGGGGTGATTCTCCTGTGACGTGCAGGATGCTCTGAACTGGAAGGCTGAAGGGAAAGCCAAGCAGGGGCCCAGCTCATGCTGAATGTGGCAGTTCTCCTCCTCCGCCTTGGCTCGAAGCGGTTTCCATCGTGTCCGGGATTTGCAGTGTGGTTCAGTGACTCTCAGCTCTGGCCACCCTCCCACTGCACAAATTGTCCCAGCGCTCCCGCTTGCACTCCAGTCCTGAAACCGACTCAGAATCCACTTCCGCTACCTCTTCCGGGCTTCGGTTCTTCATTCCGGAGCCGTCCGAGGTACGAGCCCAGTGCCAGTCCATGCCTGCGACGGATACAACACAACGCACAGGTAGCACCTGTCCATATGAGAGGTGGAAGGCCCAGAAGGTTATGGAAACCAGGTCTGGAAGCAAATGGCTGAGCTTTGGGAACTGGGAGGCGTATGGAATGTGACGTAATCGTTCTATTGGCATGTCGGTTAGGTCAAGGAATTTGGAGACTGGATTTTATGAGATGTAATTGGATGGAGAGCAATGCTCCTGCTAATCGTTTCCGTCCATGTGCGGAATAAGTTTTGTTATGTGCACCGAAGCATGTGCAGAAGTGCATTGCAAGTAGAAAGTAGGGATGTAATAAGATAACGTTTTTTACAATGAACTGTAAGTCTGGGCTTATCAGTTACCGTGAACTGATGCCAACTGCCACCCTGTGCTGCTGGTGCTGTATCAGAGCTTGCAGTATGGGGAGGCAGCTGGCTCCCTGGGAGCAAGGCGGGAGCTGGGAGCCGGTACGTACCAAGAGCCTCTGGCTGCTGCTTCTGTATCAGAGACAGCAGCACAGGGCAGCAGCTGGCTCCCAGGGAGCGGGGCCAGCAGGCAGGAACTAGTACACACTGTAGGTGCGTGTAACTGTGTCACTGCTGAAATTTTCAGCAGTGACACAGTTACCCAATTACCTGCATTTTTACATCCTTAGCGGAAACACATACTGCCGGCTGTGGGCACTCTGTTAATCCGCTAGGTAGCATTTGAATCTCTGACCAGCTGCACAAGTGCGCAGCTTATGGGGAATACTGGTGTCGAGTGGCAGAGATGTTGTTCCAGATGGCGGGGGAAGAGTGGGAGAAATATTTACTGTCTACTCTCTGGAAACAAGGATATAAAGACCTCGGGTCCTCGAACAGCGTCAGAAATGCAAGAGAGACGAGGTGTTCAGAGGAGAGGCAAATGCACAAAAGACATTGCAAAGGAATGCCTCGACCCTGGGTCCATATAAGTTAATGGCTAAACTCCCACTGGCTCAAGTGGGAACAGGAATGGACTAATGGGGAGAGATTTTACATGTTTCTGAGGAGTGAGAGAAATGGATTTTGTGTATGGATTCAGGAGAGGAGGTGACGAAGAGGTGGATTGTGGGAAGGCTGAATTAACAGTCATTCCAGTGTAAATGTATGCATCTGAACGATTACACTACAGTGGAACTGCAAACAAGCAACAAACCAGAACACCTCTGGGAGGTTCCCATTGCACGAATGTGGATGAAACGAAACGAGCAAACAAGAGTGACTTGGTAGCTCTGAGAAATGCTTAGGTATGAGATACAAATTCCTGGCCCAGCCTCGTTAGTGAATCCCTTTCCAAACATTCTCTTGGCATCAAAAAGAACTTTTCCCTCCCCGAATTTAAAAAAAAAATCAAATAAGTTGCAAACAACACGGCTTCGTGGCATTTTTAATATTTAAAACAAGACTAGACTCTACAACCGCGACCTTTAACAAATGTACAATAACGCGGTAACAAATTTGCTTCGAAACAGCTGCTCTCTCGGTACCAACTGGCATGAAGATTAAGAAAGTAATTGGCTAGTGTTCAGATAATTACCATAATTATAGCGACACCACTTGGATCACATCTAACTACGTTTCTGCTGCACGTTGCATAATTTAATAATTGGCAGCATGTAAATGGACAGTGAAGGTAAAGACTTTCCTAGAGTGTAAATCCTGAGCAGGACAGAAATGGGAGGATGTGAGAGAGTTGAAATGGAGCGGGTTTGGCTTTTGTCTATTCTAGATCACTGCATTCTAGAGCGTTCAGACCACATGTGCTTAAGAGTGCAGGGGGCTGGACAATTCTCTTCTGACTGCACCGTCAGCTGAAGGGGGAAATGCTTTTAGTCGATAGCATTAACCAATCAGCTTTTGCTGATTGGTTTATCGACTACTATTATGTCTCTAGGCTGCAACTGAGCTGCTGCTACTCCTGCAACTTCTTATATAGTTTCTCCTGGCCCCTAATTGGCTGGTTTCTTCCTTTGTGGTTCCCCACCTGACAGCCAGCAGAACGTGAGCCCACTTCACCGCTGCTCCCTGTGGTCTCCCAGAGCAGCCACGTGACAATGAAAAGCGGGTCTGGCAGGCTGAGATTTTGCCATCCGCTCTTCTGAGGCAAAGGAAGCCCAAGTGTGTGGGCAACCCAGCAACACGGCTCTGGTCAGAAAAGCCTGGGGAAGACTCTCTCGGCAGGCTCTGATTACTCTCTGCAGAGCAGTGCTCGGAGGAACATATCGTGTATATGCTCTGTCTATAAGCACATGGTGATTTCTCTAGAATAGGGTTGCCAGATGGTTTAACCAAAAATACTGAACATCAAGCTCCCCCACAAAAAAACGGGAAAAAAATTCTGTTGAGAAAAGAAAGGAAGAGATCAAAGTTGTTTGGGGGGGGGGGGGGGGAGCCGCGGGAGCAGGCAGCAATTAAGCAAAAAAAAATTTTTAAAAAAAAAAAAAAAATCAGCATGGCCCCTTTAAGAAGAGGCTTTTTTGCTGGTGGCCATTTTATTTTTTCTGTTACAGCCACAAGACAAGCCCCTGCGGAACCAGGTAAGCGAGGGTGTGGGGGGAGCATCCGGGGGAGCTTGGCGTGGGGACTGGGGGCTGAGCCCGGTTGCTGAGTGTGTTATAGTGTTGCCAGGTGTCTGGTATTTTCTGAATTTTTTTTAGCAGACAGGAGGCAAAAGTACTGGACTGTCCGGGTCAATCCCGGACACCTGGCAACCCTACTCTAGGAACACTAGGGCAGACCAAAAACCCAACCACCTAGGACTGGTGAGAGATGGGCTGTCAACCAGGTGTGCAGGGGAGGGGAGTGTACGGAGCCTCGGCTCTTTAGGGCCTGTTGCATTTGCACTTCCTGTGCTCATGTGACACATGGGGGAGGGGAGAAGGCAGGGCCGTGGGTTTATCCCAGTCCACACCAGCCCACGGTGAGACGGCCAGTCCCTTGTGCAATGAGCTATCTGGGAAGGGGGCTTCTGCCTTTCGGAGTGAAAACCCGCCCAGGAGCTCAGCCTGGGATGGGCAGCTTTGCTCCGGCCTCCTCGCAAGGCTGTGCGCAAACCTCACGACCGCCCTTACAGCCCTAGAGATCCGAGAACATCAGGGACTGGCAAGAGGCCTTGCTGACCTCAGATGATGGGAGCATGGGGCGGAGAAAGCTCCAGTTCATCATCTGGAAATGGAGACACCTGTCCGGCATCCCT